CCGCCGCAGCACGGCGGGCGGCCGGACCTCGCTGGCCAGCGGCAGCCGCGTCAGGCGGAGGTACTCCTTCTCCAGGCTCAGGCACGTGCCCTCCCCGCCCAGCCTCAGCTGCCCCACCCCCTCCCCGTCGTCCGCGGCGCCGCCCGCGCCGCCGCCCGCGCCCTGCAGGAGCGCGCCCCTCTGCTGCGCGATCTCGGGCGCGAAGCGCTGCGAGCGCTGGGCGCGGCGCGCCCGCTCCTCGGCCGTGAGCTTCACGCCGCCGATGGCGCCGGAGGGCGCGGATGGCCTGGCAAACACCAAAGGCCGCGGCTGCGCCTGCGGCTGCGACCGGCGCTCTTGCGCCAATGCTGGGGTTGGGTCGCCGGGTGCCTGCCGCTGCCGCTTCAGGGCCTGGGCCGGCGCCGCCGCAGCCGGCGCCGCCGCGGCAGCGGTGGCGGCTGCCGCCGCAGCCCCCACCTTCGAGAGCACCGCCGACAGCTTTGCCTGCAGTGCGGCGCGCTTGCTGGGGTCGCCCGCCGCCGCAAGCTTGGCCTCTAGCTTGAGCGCCTTTGCTCGCCGCTTGGCCAGCTGCTCGGCAGCTGCCTTCGCTGCGGCCTTGTCTGCTTTCCGGGCCGCCCTGGCCGCCGCCTCGATAGCCTTGGCTGCGCGCGCAGCGGCTTTCGCTGCCTTTGCTGGATTGATGGCCGGGCCCACCGTGTCTGCTGCGGCACCGGGGCCGGCTGCGACGGCCGCGGCGCGCGGCTCGACGGCGCGCTCGGTTTTTTGAGCCTGCGGCGGTGCGGGGCGTGGTGAGCTATGGCAGTGAGCAGAGGGGAAGGGGTTGCAGGCGAGGCGGCCCGGGCTACGTTGGGCCTGCAAAGCACGGATGCAAGCGCTTGCCAGTGCGACAAGCATACGCGCCGTTTCTGTGTTAAGAGAAGAGCCCAAGCGCTCACTGCACATGCACGCGCACACACCCCCACAAACAGACACTCACACGCACGCATGCACTTGCTGGGCTGTCAAGTGGACGGGCACAATGCGATTTGAGATTCACATCTGGAATCGCGCGGAACCGCGCGGCACACCAAACAATCTCAATTCACAGGGAACGCACCTTTTGGCCGCCGTCGTCTGTGCGCCTGCGCTTGCTGCTGTGCTTCATCCTGCTGGTCGTTGCAACCGCGCCAAAGGCGTTGGACGGCTGCACGCAGGAATATCTAGTGATGTCGCGCGGCCAGCTGGCGGCGAGGAGGGCCGAAGTACTGCTAGCGTGGATGCGTGGCCAAGTGCTGCTGGACAGGCGTGCCAAGGCCCTGCTATGCCTGCTACCGCTATGCCTGATGCTGCTACTGCTGCTGCTGCTGCTGCCGCTGGTGATAGTGATGTGAAGTACTTCAAAATGGTGGTACAACAGAGGGGACCAGGCTGCTGGGTACACGGCTGACCGCCGCTCACAGGGAGCTTGGCGGGGCCAAGGCTTCACACATGCAGAGGCCTGCCGGGCGAGGGGGAGGGGGGGCGCTGTCAACGTATGGCTGCGGCTGCTAACAGCAGCCCGGCAGTACCTTGGTGAGGACCAGCAAGCAGCCGAGAAGGGTACCCCAGCACATGCGCATGCACCGCCACGGCAACAGCGGCAACAGCGGCAGCAGCGTGCAGCGCAGCAGCAGCGACAGCACCACACTTGTTGCATTGGTGCAGGGGCAAAATCGCACGACAGGAGGACGGAAGGGATGCAGATCGATCGAACCTGCGTCACGCCGGCAATCCAGGTAGCCGCAGCAGCGTATGGGCGCCGAGCCCGAGCCCCAGATCGCCAAACTCGGGCTGGGAATCGTCCGGCACCACCAGCGGAGCCGAGAGGCCTGGTACTGCCAACCGCTGGTTGGTGAGCTTCACAGGCGCGGGCCTCCTCTTGCTCCTGACCGGGGAGCCGATGGGGAGGGCGACAGGGCGCTGCTGCACACGTCCGGCGACCTGATTGGGCTCGCAGAGCTTTGTGGATGTATTTTGCTCCTCCTGAAGCGGCGTCGGGCTGTTGGCGCTCCTCAACATGCTGCACGTTGGCCTTGACCTTCCCAACGACGTGTGATTGACCCGAATAGCCGTCCTGGGGCGTTCAATTGCGGTATGGGTAGCACCAACCAAGGCGAGGTTTGACAATGCGGCAGTGAGCGAGCACAATCGGCGTTCGACTGGCTCTTGTGCTGACTAGCTGCTGACGAAGCTGCTCGTCCGAAAGGCCAGCCCAGCAATCACGCGGAAACAATTCGAGCCCTGCATCCCTGCACCGCATCCAACTGTGCGAGGTATATCGCCTTCAATTTGCTTCTCGGATCTTGGCTGCAGCGGAAACCGCTCATTCCGGGAACAGGGTCAACGCACGGCAAAGCACGGCAGCATTCTGCAATCGCAAACGCGCGCAGAGAGTATGTATGACATTGGCGAGTGCACGCAAGGGGCGGGCATGGTGAGCGCTACGCGTCCGTGCCCACCCTTGGAATGCATTGGGTGCGCGACGCCGTGCGTGATTGTACCATCTGCAGCATCCTGAGCGGCACATGCTGCACTGGCAGGCACACTACTCGCACTGTCTCCTGCACTGTGCACACCGCCACCCTCGTCCCGCCGGACAATTGCGACGCAGCCACGCCCTCTTGCCCGCCCTGCCAGGTGAGGGCGCACTTCCCCCCAGCCAAGTTTCGGGAGACGCTTTTCGATGCCAACCCCGCAGCCAGCCCCGCTGTCAATTTGACACGTCTGGGCGCGCGTGACCGCAGAGCCAGCACGGCGAATCCGCGCGGTGAGGCCCACTTGAAGCAGCAGCAGCAGCAGCAGCAGCAGCAGCAGCAGCAGCAGCAGCAGCAGCAGCAGCAGCAGCTGCTGCCACGTCGCAGGCGCGCCGCCAGCGCCGCGCCGGCGGGCGCCGCGGCGCCGAAAGGGCCGCGCGAGGAGCTGTACATGAGTGTATACGCCTCCGACTACCACAAAGCCGGCAGGCCCGAGGACGCGGCGCGCGCGGGGGCGCTGGTGCGCGCGCGGCTCGGGCTGGCCGCGGGCAGCGAGTGGGCTGCGCTCGAGCGGCTGGACGCGGAGCGCGCGGCGGCGGACAGGGCGCGGCGCGCTGAGGCGGCCGCGGCCGCGCGCGTGGCGCAGGAGGAGGTCCTGAGTGTGCAGGTGAGCGAGGCAGGGGGGGCACTTCGCCTGCGCGCACTTGTGTGTGTACGCATATGTGTGGCAGGTGCGTGTGCGAGTGCGCTTGTGCAAGTGCATATGTGTGTAAAAGTCACACGTTATGAAAGGTGGATGTTGCGTATCAACGTGTGCCGCGGGGCCATTCTGCCAGCAGCAAGGCATGCCATCACAGCCTGTCCACGGCACGCTCAGGGCGCGGCCCATGCAAGCTTCAAGGCTGCATGCGCACGGCCCATCCCGGGGGAAACCCCTGTGGGACAACGGGATGCCCCACCAGCAGCGATGCAGCCGCCGAGCGCCGCGGCGGAAACCCCCCTCACGCGCCGCGAGGCGCTGCGCGCAGGTCGCCGCGCACCAGGCGGCCGCGCGGGCGGCGGCGGAGGCGAAGGCACATGAGCTGCGGGAGGCGCGGCTGCGGGCGGCGGAGTTCGAGGCGGCAGAGGCGCGGCGGGCGGCGGCGGAGGCCGGGAAGCACGCGGCGCTCAGGGCAGACAGGGATGAGCAGGTGGGCAGTGGAGATGATGTGTGCATATGCATGTGTGTGCTTGCGTGCGTGCCTGCGTGCGTGCGTTTGCTTGCTCTTGCGCGTATGCCCAAGCGCTCATGTGTGCACGTAAGCAACTGGGCATTTTTGTGTGCATTTTTGGTGAGTTGATGGGTGGCTGATTCGGTGGGTGCAAGGGATGCAGGTGGATTTGATGGGGGGTGGTTTGTGTGCACGCGCAAGAGGGTAGGTCAGGCTTGGCCAGACGGCCCACCTGCGCGCTGCGGCATTGACTGTGGGTGGGGCTGGCGGCGGCGAACCTAGTCTGATTTTCTGCTGCACCCGCATTGGAGCCGCCGTCGGCGGGCTGAAAAGCGTCAATGGACAGTCGCCAGCTCAGCCTAGTAACATCATGTTGCATAACATCATCATACCTACTGTCCACTAACGCCCGCGCACACGCGTGTGCCACCTGCGCTCCCGTCCGCCCCCGCCGCAGCTCGCGGCCAATGAGGCGCTGCGGCGGCGCCGCGAATCCAAGCGCCAGAAGGAGGAAGCTGCCCTGCTGGCCTCCGCGCGCGCCCAACTCGAAGCGGCGCGGGCCGACGCCGCCCGCAAGGCGGCCGCCGCCGCCGAGGCGATGCGCCGCACGGTCGCAGAGCGCGCGGCGCAGGCGGCGGCACGGCGCGAGGCGGGGGCGCGGCAGAGGCGGGAGGACGAGGAGCTGATGCGGGAGACGATCAGGTGCGATCCAACGCCGGCGCCAAGGCTGCGGGCCGCGTGCCTTTTGGCTGCAAGTGGCTGCGCTGGCCAGCGCCGCCCTTGCTCTTACTCTGTGGGCTGATTTTGTGCTGTGCAGTTTGGACTTTGAAAGTTTACATGTTTGTTGCCACATCAGCCCTCTACAATGCCTGTGTGCTGTTGCCTGTCAATCAGGACGCTCGAGGCGCAGGAGCGCGAGCGCGACGCGGCGCTGGCCGCCTTCCACGCGTCGATCGAGGCGCGTGCTGCCAAGGCCGGCGCGATCGCCGTGGCGGAGAGCACGGCGCGGGCGGAGCGGGAGGAGCGGCTCATGCGGGCGGGGGAGGCGCGGGCGCAGGAGGAGGCCGCAGCAAAGGTGCGTGAGCGCGGGTGTGTGTGCATGTACGTGCTGGTGTGTGTGTGTGTGTGTGTGTGTGTGTGGTAGGCGGGTGGGGGTGGGGCGTGGCTGGCTGGCAGGGTGGCTGGGTGGATGGGTGGGTGTGCTTGCTTGTGCGCGTGAGAGGGCGGTGCTTGGAGGCTTGTCAGATCACATCTTTTTCGCATCTCCCCCAAAGAGGTGGTGGGGTGACCGCTGGGTCACGTTTATTGGTGAATTTTGTCGATGAGCAGGCAACCAGCCGTGGCTCGGGCCTCCACCAACCTCGGTGTGATCACTTTCTGTGTTGTTGGCCTGTGAATCCGGCGGACACCTTTCCCTTTGCAAGCAACACACACACACACACACACACACACACACACACACACACA